GACGAAGGACAAGACAGAATAGGACGGCTTAAATACTGGGAGAAGACGAGACATGATGACAAACAGCTGGGACGAGACACAGGTGGCAACAATGGAAACTAATGAGGAAGCACGAGGAAAACAGACACAAACCGGGCCACAGAAAAGTACCATCCTTACACAAAAGACCAGTTTCAAACCAGTGACACGTCAGTGTCTAATGCTCACTGCTACACACTGAGGACCTTTTCACTGAACAGTTCTTCTTCAGAAACATCAACATGTCTGTTTTCTCTGGACACAAACCAGCTGCTCCTGGCTGATGGTGTCTCCAGCAGTATAAAATCTTCACTCTGAGGCTGTAGATGATGATTGTTGCACACACAGATACCTGGTTGTCAGTTTGACATATTGTCCCTCACATTCCACCAGCAGGTCACTGGATTCACTGAGGTAGGGATGATGCAGACATCTGCACCTCTGTGTCTCTGCCTGAATCTTCTCTGTGGTTCTCTGGGGTTTAGGGCTCTGATCATCTCCCTAATTGACATGAGAACAAAACATCAACAATAACATGGTTGTGTTATTATTGCTCAAAAAACATTATCTAGGCTGAGAGATACTGGTTTAACTGGTCAACAAAATCCTTTACAGTTTAATTTACCTCCACCGTGCAGCTTCACTATAGAAAAAGGCAGCAAATTTTTAACAACAAAGTTTGACTGTCCTGTGGCCTCCACCTCGCTTTTCTTTTGTCCTCACATCTGGGTCAGAACCTCCTGTGAGGAGAACATGAACATAAACAGTGAACATTAGTGAACTGTTTAACCTGCTGACCTGATGGATGAGCAGTTTTACAAGCTAAGATTTATGTTACTGTCAATCTTTAGTTAGCTTCTGAGTTTAGCTAGCTACGTAGATAAAATAAATTTACACACTAATATGTTAAAGTTAGCGTTACATGGATCATAGTTTAAGAATAATTAAACTCCGGGGAGGAGGAGGGGGAGGCTAATGAACTCTTCTCTCCTCGCAGAAAAACACAGAGCAACTTTCTGCAGCGCGTGTTACCGAAGCTGTTCGACAACACGCGCTGCACACGTGAACCCGTCTGTGGGCATCACCAGCACCATAGACATAATTATACATAGATTAGGTACGGCAGCTCTATACACCTCTGGATGTAATCTGGGTGTAGTATATTTGTCATATGTCTGGTGTTTTGCCTGCCTGCATGCTGAAACCACGTGACACGTTACAGCCAATACCGAAACTTGACACCGAAAGAAGAGTGACGTTTCAATACATACACCGACCGGTGCAGTTTGGTCGGTGCCATAAAAGAACCTCGGTTCGGTACTCAGCCCTATAACTAAGGGATATCTCAGGAAACCCAAGCCAACCCTAACTATATGATTTATCAAAAAGGCAAGTCTTAAGCCCAGTCTTAAAACTGAACAATGTGTCAGCCTCACGGACAGAAACTGGAAGTTGGTTCCACAAGAGAGGAGCCTGATAACTGAAAGATCTTCCTCTCATTCTGTTTTTGGAAACTCTAGGAACTGCAAGCAAACCTGCAGTCTGAGAGTGAAGTGCTCTGTTAGTAAAATATGAAACAATAAGATCTGTAATATAAGATGGAGCTAGATTGTTGAGGGCTTTGTAGGTTAGAAGTAGGATTTAAATTCAATTCTGCATTTGACAGGGAGCAAATTAAGAGAAGCTAAAACTGGAGATATATGATCTCTCCCACTAACTCCAGTTAAGACTCTGGCAGCAGCATTTTGGATCAACTGAAGACATTTTAAATAAGTATTTTGACACCCAGATAATAAACCATTGCAATAGTCCAGTCTAGATGTGACAAATGCATGGACCAGTTTTTCTGCATCATCTTTAGATCAGATGTTTCTAATTTTAGTGATATTACGCAGGTGGAAGAAGGTGGTTCTAGTAACGTTTTTAATGTGGGGGATAAAAGATATGTCCTGATCAAAAATAACACCAAGATTTTTAACATTATAAGGACATCACTCTCCTTTGCCTCCCTGGTAAAATCTATCCTTGGGTACTGGAGAAGCAAGTCCAATCATTGGTGGAATCTCAGATTCAGGACAAGTAATGCGGGTTCCATCCTGACCATGGAACTCTGGACCATCTTTTTACCCTTACTAGGGTCTTCAAAGGGATCATGGAAGTTTGTCATGAAGGCATTCAACCATGTTCCTCAGGGTTCATTGTGTGGGGTGCGCTACAAGTATGGGATCAGGGGCCCGTTGCTATGGGCTGTTTAGTCCCTATACAAGCGGTACAAGATTTTGGTTCATATTTCTTGCAGTAAGTCGGACCCTTTCAGGTTGGGAATTGGATTCCACCAGGGCTGCCTGTTGCTACCAATTCTATTCTTAACTTTTATGGAAATAATTTCTTGGTGTTACCAGGGGCTGGACTGGATGTCTGATTTGGTGGCCTCAGGATTCCATTTTTGCTATTTGCGGATGATGTGGCCCTCTTGGCGTCATAGTGCCATGATCTTAAACTGTCTCTGGAGCGATTTGCAGCCGTGTGTGAAATGGCTGGGGTGAGAATCAGCGCCTCAAAATCTAGGGCCATGGTCCTCTTTCAAAAAATGATTGATTGCTCTCTTCTGGTCGAGGGTTAGGTGTTGTGGAGGAGTTTTGTTCACAAACGAGGGAAGAATGAGTTTGAGATTGACAGACGTATTGGTGTGACATCTTTAGTATTGTGGACTCTGTGCTAGTCCATTGTAGTGAAGAGGGACCTGTTTACCAGTTGGTTTACGTTCCTATCCTCACCTATGGCTACAAACTTTGGGTAGTAACCGAAACAACAAGACTATAGATACAGGCAGTTGAACTGTGTTTCTTTTGAAAGATAGCTGGACTCTCCTTTAGAGAGAGGGTGAGAAGTTCACTTCACCACTTGCTCTTGCTGAGATCGGATGCTTCTCCCCTCCCTCTCTGCTTTGCTGCTCTGTCTGTCTGTTAAACTGCTTGTGAGACTCGCATATCTTCCGAACCATAATTATGGACTTTTTGATCAGTTGGTCCCTCAACTCAATTTACAACATTTCTTCGAAGAGAAGACAGGCTTTAGGCAAGCCGATTTGCCCTGTTGGCACGCACGCAGCTGGATATTTCATCGACTTGGAAGACTTGATGTGTCTATCTCTGCTGCCATTTGTGGATTTTTAGGACGCATATTTAATTGGATTTTCGATAACTGGTTCCTGCTTTTTGGATTCGACTGGTTGCTGGTTTTATCAATCAATCAAGGAAGTTGTCAGCAGCAAATTTAACCAAGTTTAACTGCTTACCTTTATGATGGCTTGGTTCGTGTCTCGAGTACCCGGACTCAAATGCTTTGGGCTGAATGAATCAGATCTTGAGGATTTTACTCAGTCATGTTCTATCGGTGTGGCCATGTAATTTGGACATTTTGGAACCAAGTCGACCAACACAGACTCAAGGTAGATGTCATTAAGTTATGTCTGTCCCCAAAACAACTGTATGTTTATCTGAATTTGGCTCCCCTGGCTGGCCTTGAAGGCCATCTTATCTGAATTCACCTGGAGAACTTGTGATCTGACGCTCACCACCCCCTTCCTGAGGAATTTCCAACTGATAACCAGATGAAACCAGCTGAATGAACTTGTGCCATCATTTCAGGACTCTTGGATTCTCATAGTCATTATTCTTGGCCATTCCTCGACATACCTCGAGAATGTTTATGGATCTCACCGGAGGACATTGACTGATTATTCCATCCTTATCAGAACTCTTACAGTGACCTTGAGAGCATCTATGAACATTGCTGACCGCTCTCGCCTCCCCCCTCTGCAGAATGTCTATGCCACTATGTGCTTGTTTGTGCAAGGTGTTTTTTAACATTAGAGTTTTTTTTTCCTCAGGCAGGAAAAAAAAAGTCTAATAGGAATTTTTTTGCCTCCAACTCCTACATGTGTCCAGTTTACCACTTTTTTGTCTGTCCAAACAAGTCTCAATTGTAAATGAGTCTTTGAGGCTCAATGCGAGTTATCTGTTTCAATAAAGGTTGAATGAAAAGTTCAGTTATCTGGGAGAAACTCGGAGTAGAACTGCCGCTCCTCTTAATCAAGAGGAACCAGTTGAGATTGTGCATTTGGTAAGGTTGCTTCCTGGGTGCTTCCCTAGGGAGGTGCTTTGGGCATGTCCAACTGGGAGGATACCCCGGGGAAGACCCAGGACATGCTGGAGAGACTATGTTTCTTGTAGGTCTGGGAATGCCTTGGAATCCTCCCAGAAGAGCTGGAAGAAGTGGCTGTGGAAAGAGATGTCTGGGCATCCCTGCTCAAGCTGCTGCCCTTGAGACCTGACTTTGGACCAAGCATAAGATAATAGATGGATGGATTTTAAAGCACATCAATAAATGTGTTATAATTAAAGTCTTGTACAATAGTTGTATAAAAATCTACAAAATTAAATTTTTACTCACCAAGGCCTTTAACTGAGTTTTTACCATTTTAAATTTGATCTGAACTGAACGTTTCCAGGATTTTTGACAGAAGGGAGAGTTTGGAAACATCTGAAATTTGGATGGACTGTAGGCTTCAAGATTTTATTCAATGGCATTTCAGCTGCATGGTTAGTAATGGAACCAGGAGGAACTGGTTCTGAGTGAGATGGGTTCTAGGTTTCTATTGGAACCCATTTTTTGTGGTCTCACTTTTTAGTCTTCATCTGTTCTTCCTACCTGGCAGATCATTATTAAACATCCTTTGTCAAAAAATGTCCACTGTCTGCTATTTGTACATGTCTAAACCTTTTTAGCCTCACCTTGTAAACTGTCTCCAAATCGACGGTTCCTCTGATAACTCTGTCAAACAAAAGTCCAACTGATGTAAACACTGACATTAACATTTTTAGACCTTAGACAATCAGACATTTGTTCAACATCAGTCAGTTCCTTTAGTTCAGACATTATTGTAAACCTAAACTCTGTTGCTTCTGATTGTTCTCCAGGAGGAGGTTCTGGTTCAGGGCCCACGGGTCCTTGTGACTGGGACAACAGGTCTTCTGGGTCGAGCCGTCTTCAGAGAGTTTCACAACAGTGGCTGGGTAGCGATCGGGACTGGATACCGGAGAGCCCGGCCTCGCTTCCTGCAGTGTGACTTAACTGATGAGGATGCCGTCAGAAGGCTGCTGCACGAGTACAAGGTACTATATTCATTCATTCATTCAAACTTTATTTCTACAGGTTAGTCTCACTGAGCCACGAGGACTCATTTACAAGAAACCTGTTTTAAACAAAGAACACATAAGAGGTACAGACAACAGTAGACAATCATATAAAAAGTATATAAAATGAAAAGTAAATGGAAGAAACAATATAAATAAAAACGAAACAAAAACATCTACTTTATAAAGCATAATATACACTTTACTAGTATATATATATATATATACCATATACATATGGCTTATAAATAATATATATACAGTGAACCCTCGCTATAATAATTGGTTAATATAATCGCTAATATAATTGGTTTCTCAGAACACACCATTGGTTGGTTCTCTAACTATCTTTCAGACCGGAGGCAATGTGTTCAACATAATGGTACTTCCTCCAGTTATTTAACAGTCAACAATGGTGTACCACAAGGCTCAGTCTTAGGACACACCCTCTTTACAATCTACATACATAATGTAGGTTAAAAACATCCCTAATGCATCCATACATTTCTATTCTGATGACATAGTTGTTTATTGTCGAGCTAAAACTGTTGCTAAGGCTTTCCAGCTTTTGAAATCTGCATTCAACATCATCCAGACAGATTTGTTCCGCCTCAAACTTGTCCTAAATGCCGACAAAACCAAAGGGATGCTTTTTTCAAATAGGAAGTTGGTCCCAGCAGTTCTTCCTCCGATTTTATCCTCAAATGGTGTCCCCATTGAGTTTGTTGATTCCTATAAATATTTGGGTATCTTGGTCAACTCACATCTCTCTTTTAAGCTCCATGTGGAAAACTTGGTAAAGAAACTGAAAGTTAAACTGGGTTTCTTTTTCAGAAACAGATCTTGTCTAACCCTGAATGCTAGAAAACGCCTTGTATCTGTGACTTTCCTTCCCTCCATTGATTACAATGATTACGGTGACATTATTTACATGAACGCTCCTACAAGAACCATGCAGATGTTGGATGCTGTCTATCATGGTGCACTAAGATTCATAACTGGCTGTAATTATCATACCCACCACTGCACCCTGTATTCACTGGTTAACTGGACATCATTAACTTCATGCAGACTCTCTCACTGGTACATTTTCATCTTTAAATCACTTCTTGGTCTGCTGCCTTCATACATCTCCTCCTACATGTCTCTGTGTGACTGCAGCTACAGCGTGCGCTCTCAGGACATTATTACCTGCAGTGTTCCCTCAATGAGGACTGAACTTGGCAAAAGGGCCTTCTCCTACTCTGCTCCTGTCTTCTGGAATATCTTACAAAAAGATTTGAAGCTCTCGACCTTTGACCTCTCTAAGTGACTTTAAGAATCTGTTGGACTCCTGGCAGGGACCAATGCAGACATGTTCCTGTTTTTACTTTTCTACATTCGCCTTAGAATCTAGCTGGTTTTTTTTGTTGTTGTTACCTTTTTCCTTTTAGCCATCCTATTTGTAAAAAAACAAACAAAACAAAAACCCTGCAGTATGACTTTTTATAATTGTTTATTGTTGTTGCTGTTGTCCATTGTTGTCATCTTTCTTTGTTGAAATCAGGTCTCTCTTGTAAATGAGTCCTCGAGGCTCAATGGGATTTACCTGTCTAAATAAAGGTTGAATGAATAATGCGGTTCACCTTTCACGGTTTCGCTGCTTCACGGATTTGCATTGTGCATTGTGTTCTGCATTCTGATTGGCTAAACAGTCTCTCCAGTACAGTAGTTATTTGTAAAAAACATTTATACAGTACTTTTATTTGTTCAACAAATGCTTGGGCCTGTAAAAAGGTTTTGTTCTTTAGTTTGAATGTATTATGGAGTATTTCATTGTATAATAACTGTAAAAAAAATAAAGGTTACTACTTCACGGATTTCACCTATCACGGGTTCTTTTTGGAACGTAACTCCGGTGAAAAACGAGGGTTCACTGTATATATATATATATATAT